TGTTTTGAGCTTGTTCTTTGCACTAAACTTTCAGTGATGTTAACTAGAACTTTGAAGATGCTCAACAACCACAGGCTATGCAGAATGCAGGACATCTGCTGCAGCAGACAGGGAAGTGATCAGCTTCCAGTGTAATTCCACAGCAATAATCACTGTCCTAACAAGCCCCTTAAGCAGCCAACTGCAACCACCTCTACACCAGATAGTGGCCAGGAAAGCCTCAGTCACCAGTCAGTGCCAAGTACTCTTCCCACGCACTCCTAGGAATAAGGATTGCCTGACCTGCCCCCAGCCCCATACTGGGCTGGAAGTCCAGAGCTGAACATCATCTGCCACCCTGGAGAGCACTCAGAGACAAATCACAGCCACAGAAAGTGTTTCTGATTTCTGACGGGTGTTTTACAGGTAGAGTGTGCCTTTTACAGACCAAACCAAACACGGCTGGTTGTATTTCAGACAAGTAAAGACACAAAGTGAAATTTTGTGTTACCAAGCTTCCTCCCTTGGCTTGCCTTTTATTTGCAAATGCTCTGGGCTCTAAAAGCTGACTGACTTGGAATCAAATTACAGCTGAAGTTGTAGACACATAATTAAATCAACACATAATACAACTCACATGCTACTGAGGGGGGGGACCCTTGATTTTTGTATTGAGCACAAGACTTAAAGCCAGAAACTCACAAGTGATCTCAGTTTGACTTTTGCTTTGTCTGTTATTATCTTTGTCATGTATTTCACAAGGCAATTTTAAGATTTACTCTGCTAATGTCAGTTATGAGCTTTGAAGACATGAGGTACTAAGTGCCAAGTATTATTATTTATTCAGTAGTCTTGTTTTCTATGTTAGTTGCATTTGAGCAAAGCAAGCCTTGCTTTTTAGTCAGTTTTGCTAATTTGGTTTCCTTGGTCTCTCATTTTTCATGAAACAGTCACTGGGCAGAAGTTTTGGTTCCTAGTGGTCCACATCCAGCAGTAGAGGAAGTGAGCCCTTGTACTCAAATGGCTGCTAGCATGTTTACAGCCCCACCACATAACCCTGCTCAGAACAAATCTGTGCAAGAAAGTGCTCAGAACAACATCAGCTATTGGCATCCTCGAGTTTGTCTTCCCTAATATTAACCCCAGGATAAAAATCTTTTTTAGAGCTGAGGTAAAAGCTTTGTGTAGCCAGGCAATCTTTTGTGATGTTCCAAACCATCTCTCTCTCCTATGAACTGCAACACAAAGATTTTCCTCCACCTTTTGTGGTTTTGTGTTATTTCTGTTCACTTTGGAATGAACAGCATCAGAGGATCTAAAACCATTTCTAGTCACATATTCAATGTGTTTTAATTTTCCCCCTCTAGACATCAGAAACCTTATGGCTTCAGCCACCTTCTGCTACTTCTTGCAGGATTACTTGTGCTAGGGAACTTCAGAAGTTGGTTCATTTTACGACTAACTCACTCCCTTCATAAATTCAATGTTTACATTAGTCAGTATCTTCACATATTTGACTAATTGTTTAATGACCCATGAAAAAATTGTTTAAAACCCATACATTAGTGAGCTGCAGAAGAACATTTATCACTCCTGTTCTTTACACAGGTTCTTGTTTAGATATAGACAAAGAAAACAAGTATCTTTCACATGTCACTGCTGTGCTCCTGCAGCTTCCCAAAGTGTCATAAAAGGAGCAGTTTTCATAGTCAAAATTACACAGATCAAGTTTTCACTTTCAAAGTACTCTTTCCTAGCCTGCATATCTTTATGATTATGAATTGTTACACAGTACAATAAAGACTTGGAATTAGGTAATTTGGCTTTCCAGAATAAAAAATCTTTCATATAAGCAGAATATGCAATTAAGTCATCAACAGCTTTACTGAAGTATTCCTTTCCCACTGCAAGTTCATCTTTCCCTTCCTTGTCTTCCTTGTCTGCCTTCCTTGCCTGTTTCTGATGTTTGTGCCAAAAAACAGAAGTTTAAAAATGGCCCACCTCTCTACTATGTACAAGAACGCTTTCTTGAATGTTCACAAGAAGAAACTGAGAAATTTCTTCTTGAAAATTCTCACTGAAGAAATATGTAATAGTTACAACTAGCATGGGGGAGTAAGGCACCCATCTGTGTTCCTTAGGACTGTGTATTCCAAGAGACTACTTAGGCACAGACTTGAGTGTCTCCTGCTGTAGAAATGGACATGATTTACACAAGGATACACCAGACACTGAACACCACTAATTACTTTACTCTCTGTCCCCAAAGCAGAGCCAAAAATGCAGCCAGTTTTCTTGAGAAGCTCGTGTACTCAAATCACCACCAGGACTTGAAGAAGTACAAGAAATGGCAGTGGATGCTATAACCCAATGACCCAGAATTCCCTGATTCAGTGCGAGGGGTTTTTCTCAGGCAGCTTTCCAAAATCAGGGTGCTCCTTAGGCAGTGGGACTGCTCTGCAAAGCTCCCTGCCATCTTGCCCTCCTCAGCACGGCATAATTATTATTCTTGCCAGGTGAGTCACTGTCCTTAGAGGGATGTCAGCCTCTTTCACTCAGAAATAGCTTCTCAAATATTCCAGAAGAATTTATGGCGTGCCAGTCAAGTTGGTAAAGGCATGGTTAAAATAATTTAAGACACCTGTGTGTTTCCACCCATTCTGATGTCTTTCCCCTCGTGCACTTTACTAGAGAAGAGGAAGTAGCCATGGAGAATTATTTCAGAGACAGCAAGAGTCAGGAGCCACCAGTTCACACAGAGGAAAATTATATATAATATACTAGTTTATATTATATACAATTAATATAATTATATTATATTAATAATGCATATACTATATAGTTACATTATATAATATTATTCTATGATAATACATATATAATATATTATATATTATATAATTATCAATAATATATATTATATATTTTTATATTATCCCTTCTATAATATACATTCTATATTATTATTTTAGAAATTTATATTACATTACATTACATTACATTACATTACATTACATTACATTACATTATATTATATTATATTATATTATATTATATTATATTATATTATATTATATTATATTATATTATATTATATTATATTATATGTATTAAATTAATCCCCTGGTGGCTTTGTGCTTCAGGACCTTGGTGAATGTGTTCATGCTCAGCAAGGCACTGCAAATATCTGTAACCCCAGGATTTGGTGCTCCCCACATGACAGGCTGGAATCATGGATGGTGAAGCAAGAACACTTTGAGGACTGCACATCCTCAGTTGCATTGATACAACTGCATGCAAAGCAAGGCTGTAAACCAGATTACTGAGACTGTGACCACTTTAAAAAAAACCCAAAATACTGCCAACCAATCCAAAACCCCACAGCAAACTAGTTAACCCTTTTCTGGAATAATTTTCAACTGTAATTCTTTGAAAACTCAGTTTACAATGACACATGAGAAGCACTTCTAACGGCACAGCTGAAGGAACTGTATTTTGCTGTAAAGGACAGGAGGAACTAGCCAGAGGCAGCAAGAACTTCTAAAGCCACTTTTTCAGTTGAATCCACTATACTATGGATTCACTTTCTCCCCAAAATGAGACTAATAAAACAAAATTCAACTGGAATTCGAGGCTCTCAGCACTTCTGACAAGTTGGAGTCTGAAAGCCTGGCCCTCAATGGATGTATGTAGAGTGCAAATAAATTCTTATTTTTATGCCTACTCACAAAGAAAAAGCAAAAGACTGAAATAAGGAAATTACTGCATATATTCAGATGGATAAATATCTTGTAAAATGAATAACTAGGCAAGGAAAATCATTAACAATAGAGCCATCTGCTGTATTTCATAAAAACTACACCAGCAAAATTCTGAAAATGGTAAAATGCTTTACAAGCTGAATTTCTCACTACTCAGTGGTACAAAAAGTGATCATAATGATTAGTGCATCAGTTTAAATAAGAGGAAATGCGTATTTCTTAGACCTCTTCTAATTAAAAGCAATATTTAGTGGCATAATACTGATCCTCAGTGTCTAATGGTACTAATTGACATTGTAGCTGGGCTTGTTAGAAGCCTGAAATGCTCTCCATTCCATTTGAATCAGAGAAGCATGGAATTGTGTATGGTGACAGTGAGGCCAGCAGCAAACTGAACATTTATTTAAATACTGACAAGACACTTGATTACGTTTTTCTTGCTTTAATGTAAGAATTTCAAGTCTGAATAAAAAAAAAAGGAGGAAAAAAAATCAACATAAAAAATGAGGGGAAGACTAGAAGACAGACTAACCCAAGTGGTTCTTAGTATATCTTTACACTTCTAGGAATAAACTTGAGGAGCCCACTTTCAAGCACAGTGGGAAAAGCTAGTACATGGGAGCCAATTCCCAATTTTGTATCTCTAACCTAGCACTAAAACACAGAACTGTAATCCTGGTTCAGCTAGGAAAATTGTACCAAAGCTGCAAAGAGAAAATGTACTGCTGAAAATCTGGGATCAAATGGGTGCTAAGCTATGCAAAAACATAACACCTGCAAAGAATGCACAGCCCCTGGGAACTCTGTTTTGGAAGGTTGCTTTCCTGAGCTACCCTCTCAGAGGTGGTTAGAAATGATCACAAACCAAAACTGAGAGCTTTTGGCATGACTCTTCACTGGGAAGTTACCCTTGCATTTAAAACAAGCTTGTGAACCACCTACCCACATCCTATCTGTGGGTCACCACAAATGCCTCCAACAGTGTGTCTGCCCCAAATGTCTTTATTACATTTTCTGATCACATCAGATGTTGGACAACTTGCTCCTACAACTCTTGCCATCCAGCAGTTTCTTACTTAACGTTTCATACAGTTTTTTGTAGGTTACACAAAACAAGTGAGTGAACAAGTGACTTTATTACTCCACCTGCAGCTTCAGTAATTGCTACACACGTTTTTTCTACCATCGACAAAACCAAACTTCCAGGACCGGAAGTTTTTAAGCCTCATAAAGACATTCTTAGCTTAAAAGGAGATTTACCTGCCATCATAGCTATCATACTGGCTTTGTAGACATTGGCAAGGGAGCCCAGTTCACCTGTAGCCAAGATTGTTTTCATGTGAGCTTCTCCACAGGCTGCACGGCACAGACGGATCTCCTCGTACAGACCTGAGGATAAAAGCATATGGAAATGATCAAAGTTGCCTGAGAGATATTTTCAAGTATGGCTGTAATTTCCACTCCTGGATTAATTTCCAATCTTATAATTAGTCGTAGCACTCAGGAACTTAAGTTTTGTAAGTTCAATAAATTACATGACTGGAGGTAATTAACAACGCCGTGCGGTTTCAAACTTTAGTTAATAGCTATTAATGTTCTCTCAAAATACAAATGTACGAAATACCCATGAATACATCAGGAGTAAAAAATGCTATGATAGTAAAGATTGATATTAAACCAGCTGTCCCAGCAATAAATATGGTAGTAGTTTGAATCAGTACTCAGAGATAGCTATGTTTTTCTCTGCACCTGGCCAGTGAAACCCTCCCTTTTACCCTACTGGTAAAATTCAGCAGCGCTCCCACAAAAGTTTACACAGAGGGAGACTAAAAGAGCCAGAAAATAATGAAGCATTGCTGTCAGAAGTTGGCTGCTTGGGGATGTTTAAGATTGCTCCAGTGTGGGGAGAAAAGCAGCTCTTAGAGTGCACATTCACCATTTCTGGATTTTGAATTTTAAAAAAACTAAGATGCAAAATAAACAAACAGGATGCTTTGCAAGAGGGTTTTTTTTTGACAAAATGTACTCAATCTTCAAACACATAATCAAAAAGTTCTTTGACAGGAGGCTAAAATACAGCTTTAAATAGGTGTAAAACAGTCCAGGCTAGAAAGACTTTTGTTTTCTTCAGCAATACTAGACTTCTTTTCCCCTCAGCCCTTAAGTGAGACCTGGAAGCATGGGGCAGGGTTTGGCAGCTGTGGCAGGGCCCTCATCCCACTGATGCCATGGGCACACCAGGGTGTCCAGGGCTGGGACTGCTGGGCTGCCCTTCTGAGACACGCTGCACACATTAGCAGACAACTGGCTGATGCACTTAGCAAGTCCCTTTATAGACACCAGGCTTCACCTTGTTTCTCACTGTGTACCAAAGGTGTGAATTAATCAGTACTAGCATGCAGTCTAACATGTTTTATTGATCAATTGGTGATGCTCCAGAAACCTACATCAAATCGAGGCTCAAAAAGGAAACACAAAGGACCTGTGCTATATATATTTTTTTTTTTTTGTGCATTTAATAACCCTGCTCATGTTAGAGCCAAATGAAATCTCTTTTTGTGGGGTGACTCTTTCCTGAAGCTTTTGAAAACCCAGAGAAAGCAGCTTTCTTCTTCTTCTAGTTTCAGTAACAAGAGGAAAAAGTTTTCCCTACCTTCGAGATACGCCACCAAAAATGTCAAAATAAAATCAACAAAATGTACATTTAGGTTGGATTCCACGGAAAGAAATTACATCCTCACAGCTGTTGTTCCCTGGCACTGCAGCTCCAGCACCCTCTCTTGCAGTTGGAAGGTACTTCTACATGCAATTAGCGTCAAGCTCATTTGAGCAGCCTTGCTGCCTGCCAGCACACATCATCCCACGGCCAGGAACGACTCAGGATCCTCAATCATCCGTGTCTGTCAGCTTAGCTGGGGTGGAGGAAAAGTGGGCACACTTCAGTGGGGCAGGTGTGTAGGTAAGAAATGCTGTTCTTTATTCAGAGATCAATTATTGCAGACAATAGCTGATGTTCACAGGGCATTTTTAACCCCACAGTAAAAGTACAAATAGAAATGCAACTACATTTGGGACAGAGCACCCCAGTCCCAGTGCGAGCTGGAACTACTTTGATACAGAACAAGTGTGAAAACTCCTACTCCTCTCAAAAATAAGAGAAGTTTCAGTACTCAGTCAGATTGAAACCAAGGCACAAATAACGGGATTATACTGAAAATCTTGGGCACATGTCTAAAGTATGGGTGCAGTCAGACACACTAGAAAATGTACTGTTTCAAGGAGTGCTGGGCTTCCTGTGGGACAGTTTGTGCTGCCAAAAAGTCCAGCATTAACGACTCAGTTCCATCCAGCTGAACAGCAGCAGGATCAAGGCTGGGTGCTACAAAGGCAGGAGTATCTGTGAGCTGTGCAGAACACCAGCAACTGCCACAGCACACACAGCATCTCTGGTGAGTAGCAGTGGCATGAAGATTTTGACCTAAAAACTCTGTCACGGGGAGCCCTGCAGGCATATTTTCAACTAATGAGCTAAGAACACCACAAAGAGGTTGCAAGAGAATTTCTTTTTTACTCCTAAAACCAAAGAAAAAGCAAAAGCTCTCAAAGCAAACAGCCAGTACTCTCCAGCGTATTAAACAAAGCACCAATATTATCCATTCTAAAAGCAGTCTAAATTTTAAGCCAGGGGAAAAAAAAAACAAAAAAGCAAAAAAAGACACTAAAACCCAAACCAATAAACCCACAAAAAAAACCCAAAGCAAGCCAACATATATAGAATATACCTGGCGCCAGCTGCTCACTAATACAGTCTGCAGTAGCTCTACTGACCTAGCTGTTAAAATGGATATGACATAAGAACTCTTCTACTTTGCACCGCTTGAGGTACCTGACAGTTTAAATGAACTTTAGATCTGCTTAAAATCACAAAATAAAGGGCATAATCCAGACCTCTTACAAAGGAAATGAAAATATTAAAGGAGGAAAAAAGAAACACACTCCTTAATTTTTTATGGAATAGCTCTTCTTCAAAAATATGGTGATAAAAACACTTTTTAAAAAAAATTTCCATGTTTTGGTGTTATAATCTAGTCAGTGACAATGAATAGAAATTGAGATGAGAAGATGTTTTGATTTCTGTTAGCCCAAAATATCAAGGTGATTGTGATGGCCTGGAAACTGGAAAATGAGCTGGAGCCCCTTCTGTCTGGCATGTTAATGGCAGGTTTGTTAACAAAATGACAAGCACAAGGCCATCAGCACAACACAACTCCCTCACATATGTGCAACTCCAGGGATTCACATTCTGAAAACAGAGCTGGGCTGCAGGAGCCCAAGCTGCTGCTGCCAACACCAGACAGAATCTGTGCAGCAGGGCAGTCTGCACATCTAGAAATGGTAAAGCCAACTATTTATCATTAATAGTAATTAATTACTATTATTAATTACTCCTGAACAACGTGGGGAGGCTTCTCCAAGGCTCTGGAGCAGGGAGTGTGTTCTGCCTGCGCTGTTTATGAAGTATGTAGCACAAAATAGTGTCCCAGTCCCTGATCAAAGCCTCTAAATCCACACCTAAAAAATCAGCAGCAGTGAAAAGAACTTTTCATAATGAAGTTATATCATGGATGCAGCCATGCTCCAATTCCTCAGAGTATAACTGAATTTTTTTCCCTTTTCTTATAGGAAAATTTAACTGCCACAGAGCAAATTATGGATGAACAATGCTCCTACAGCCACTGACAGTGTAGCATGTCCAGGTGTTTTCCAGCAGCTGTGGAATTAGCACTAACACTACTGCACCCCACACAACTTCAGAGGGTACAGCAAATGCTGATGACAGGGGAAAAAAAGAATAATAAATAGATCCAATATATTTCAACAATTTGTTGGTCAGTTTGATCACAAAGACTCCACATTCTGTGCCTAAAGGAAGCATCCAAATTGATAATTTATGTTTAATCCATACTTTGTCAAGTAATACAAGACAACAGCTGAGTAAACTATTATAAAGTAATATTGCTTTAAAAGCTAAAAGCTTATAAAAGGTATGTAAATTCATAAACTTAAATCTCATATAATGTTACTTTCTTATGTAATTTAGCTGTCCAATAAAGCTGCTTTCATACTCAGCATTTAAAAGATCTTAACAATTACTTTGCAAAGATCTGGAAAATACATTCTGAGTGTCATAAAGAGCTCCAGCAATATTCAAAACTTCTTTAAAATAATTTGACATAATTGGACATACACTAAAATATTTAATAACGAAACAAGCCTTTGAAGCAAATCACAAAGCAACACTATTCTATTGTGGTGACCCCAATTATTGCACACGCTAGAAGAAAAGCTAAAAATGAACTAAAAAGCACTCCACCACATAGATTTTTTTCAATAAATTCTCAAGTTGTGAAGACTGTCAGCATAAGAAAATACCCATAGAAGCATATTATTGTTATTATTATTGTTATTTTTGTTACTATTCTAATGACTACCACTTTCATAAGTTACAATAGAACTGTGAGGCAGCTTTAATTGACAAAGCACCTTAAACACAGGAACTATTTAATTTTATGTAATATAGGGATTTAGCCTAAAAAATCCTTCTTTATCCCTTCTTCTAGATTCCTTGTAAGTGTTTTATAGATTATTCTGTATTATCATTAATCACACAGGTAACATATCTATTGAAAGCTAAACAGGAAGACAGAACACTAGATTTTCACCAAAACATCTAGATCACTGAATGAAATACCTTTCTTTTTATATAGGAAAGTCAAATATTATAATTTTTCACCTTGTGGCATCTCTATGGCAAGTAAATTCTGTTCCTGAAGTAGCTTTTCTTCAAGCTTATGTAAACATGTGTCACAAACAGACTCAGATTCAT